TATGTTTTGTCTGGAGATGTGGTGGAGCTATAGGATTGGATTGGGACGTGTCTTGCTGCAAAAGTAAAGAAAGACTTGCTTGAAAAGACTGTGATCTCCAAAGTGGCATGTGAGTGTACAGTGCAGTGAGAAACTTGTATGAATTCATCAAAAGTGAACATAAAAGTCTGTCTTTGTAAGTAGGGCTTTGGGAGGAGGGGGAAATGTTTTACACGTAGATAACCTCACGGCTCTTCTATGAGAGCTGCAAATGTTGTCTCTGTTTTAGAGTCTGGAAATTGAGGCACAGACACGTGCTTGGCCAGGACCATTAAGCAAATAACACTGAAAGTCAGGACCAGAGCGCCAGCTTCTGCATCTCTGTCAAGTGCTCCAGGCACTGAACCAGGCAGTTTCCTAGCTCTTGAGGAAAAAGCAGTAAATCTTTTATACATTCATTCAGATGAATTAGCCAGGTTTTTGTACGCTGAAGATGTTATTTAATATTCTTTACCCAGCTCTGTTGAGCCTTCTGCTTTCATGGTAGTGATGTCTTTCACTACAGTTTTACAAGGGTGGGGTTTTTCTCTCATTGATTCCTTAAATGACCTGCTCTCAGTTTTAATTCCTGTCTAAAGGATATCAGTACTTGTCTCCTGTCAATATTAAGGTTTTATTTCTTTCCTTTCATTACTTATGACAGTAGTAAATGGCAGCAGTTATAAATAGCTTATCTTTTTGACAGTAAAGCAGCCAAGAGTGGTACTCTTGGTTCAGTGTTCAATGCAGCCATGCTCTTTTATAGTGTCTTGTTGTAAACATCAAGCTGCCAAATAAATACAAGTGATTAGCATGGGAAAACAAAGGAGGCGTATTCACCAATGGAAGCATATTTGGCTTTCATCCTTGATTCTCCAAAACCAAAGCAATCTAATAAATCTGGCTAACCAAGCTAATTCCGATTCCTTTGTGTCGTCTGTAAAATCACAACATGCAGAATTTTAAGATCAAACCCTGTGCTGCCAAGGGGTTGTTAACAGAAAAGAGGGGAAAAAATGTAAAGTTGTTCTGCAGGAGGGAAGAGAGAACACAG